ATATATGCATATAATAAAAAATTCTAAGACTTCATATTTTATACTTATAACATTAATTAGTTTCGGCAAAACAAGACTAGATTTAATATATTTAACTATTGTCAATGAATACGGCTCATTGTTTTTGATATTTGGAGCAATTGACTATCTCCATTGGCAATATATTGCCTGAAGTAAAATGTCCTCAAAATAATTCATACTTTTACCACTTTTCCTTACCGATTTTAAATTGCTTTTGTGTCTACTTGTTTCTGGGTGTTTCCGATTTTCCGCAATTTAAAATTTTGCTACAGACAGCTTGCATTTACTGCTCTGCTCCCACTCACAGAAAGAAGACGAACTCATGTCTATAAAGATAAGAAAATATGTATAAATATTAATTTCATTATATTTAACGTATAAACTTATTTTTAGCAAATTTTATTTCCCATTAACAGGCCTGTTCTATCAGGGTAACAAAATTTACTTTGGTGTTCAAATTTACCAAATTTCGTCACTATTTCGTATTCTGACTCTCACCGTCACTCTGTAAGTTTCCTTACCAGCAAAATAGGAGGTAACAAACAATCAGCTGTTAGATTTTCTGTTATTAGTTTGTTAAAAGGTAAAGAACTGAAATATAAAGACATATTTTAGTCTAGAATTAATTAAAGATGAAGAAAAAAGGCAAGAAAGCGCAAGCTAAGAAGTTTACAAGAAAAAAATGGCTTTAATTTGTCATTCAGTATTTTTGCCTGAAAAAACAATTTGCTTAGAGCTTATAAACGAATTGGTAATATATGACAAGGGAGTAGATATTCATGTGTAATTTTTATTGGCAGAAGATATCGTTGCCGTTTTATTTGAGGTTTCTCTCAACAATCAATTTTTTTTCCACGGGCCGCCTCAGGAACTCATTGGAAGCAATTGTCTAAATGCAATGAGCCAACCTTCTGTTTCGCGATCACTACAGTATATTTCAAAGTTGAAGATTTGCTTCCCAACAACCATTGAAATGCAAATATGTAAATGAATATTCCTCTTTTTACTTTACCAACTGGCAAATGTAATTTGACATGGGCAAAAAACCAGTGCTTCCAAAGTTTTTTCAAACATTGTAACCAGTTCGCCAGAATACCAAATTCAATTTCGGGTGTTAAAAAAAGTACTTTACCGGCAACAATGAGATTAGGCTTGCAAAAATGATATAAAGTTCTCAAATAGAGATTTGTTCTAAGTTCTTCTTTTAACATAGCCGCAATATAGCTTTCAACAAATTATGTGGAAGTAAAAATTTCCTTTCCAGCCGCATTATTTCGGTTATAGGATTTCTACTCTTTGCGTGAAACATCGAACCGTTGATTGCGTCTGAAATGATGGATACGGGCGACTGGTTCATCTCACTTAGAGAAATTGATTAAAACGGTTTGCGGTTTCGAAAACAAACGTTAACGTATTTTTTTCACGAATTTCCTTTATGATTATAAAGTTATAACCTTGGCCATTATATGTGAAGCATTCGTTGTCGTTTTCAAAGAAGTAAGGACCAATCACACCTCTGAACTAAAGAGCTCCCCAGACAGTAAGTTTATTTTTAGTGTAATGGCATCTCTTCAATTATTTGAGGAAGCCGTCCACTGTTTACTGTTAAAACACCCAATCAACGTGGTATGTACAGCGTTTTTAATGGTCAGTCGGCTTCAATTGTTGTGTGAGCTGAACCTTATATGGTGAATGTTGGCGTCAATCCAAGCGCAAAAGCTCTTAAGAACGTCGAGAAGTAGACACATTTGGATCTTCGGTTATACTATCACTTACTCTAGTGATGTTTGAGGTGGAACGAGCAGAACGAACAATATCTGTAACCCAGCCAGTCTCTTTAAATTGCTTCAAAATTTTACCAACTGCCTGAGTAGTTGGACAATTATGTACACCATAATCTTAATCTCTTAAAGCACGAAACGTGGCCACATAACGTTTAATCGTCATTTTTGTAGTTGGTCTCAACAACTTTAACGCCTGACTTTTAACTAAAACGAAACATTTTTGGTTTCACAGTTTCAGATGTCAAAGTACAGCCACGAAACTGATAACCGTATATGTATTTGACCTGTCTCGTGCTATATTGAATTTTAAAATAAAAAAAATATATTCAATATAATATTTTGGAGATGCGGGGCATCGATCCCCGTACCTCTCACATGCTAAGCGAGCGCTCTACCATCTGAGCTACATCCCCATGTTGAGGAGTTGCACTTTCAAGTCATTCAATTACTTTTGTGCATTTTTATAAATGCTATACATACATACATATAATGGATAAAGTTATTTTTGGTAAAATATATGTGGTCTTCAATTCAAGCAGAAAAGCTTTATAAGCCATCTGCAAATGATAGTAATTGAGCGATTAGAATGCAAATGTCGTAGAAACCATCAGCTATGTTGACCAAACCAAAACAAAACAAAAAAAAACACTGCGAACATTCTCTAAATTTAATTATTTCGTAGTAGTTTTTTCAATCATTCAAAGCGGCTTATTAAGTAAGGAATATTTAGCTTAAGAAACTTGTTAATTTTTTACGATTTAATTTTGCTTGATTCCTGAATTCAACGACTCTCCAAATAAGTACCCAATTCCATAATTACCACAAAACCCCAAAATATTCAACACATGATACAAAAATTCTAACGAGTGATCCACGTCAGGCGTGAGTCGCGTCAAACTGTCATGTTATTTTTCTTCAATGTTGTTTGACATTTCTTCAAGAAAAGACTCACGCTTCAACAAAATTTACAAATCGTTCAACTTTATTACGAAAATTCACGTTTTGTATGGTCAGCGCTCAACTTATGGTCAACATAATCGGCCCACTGAGCGTACTATTCGCAACGCCATTAAATGATATTCCACTGAATAGACCACGTCCAGCACGCAGGGAAGAAAATATAGCGGCCGTAGCTGAAAAAGTAGAGTCGTTTTTGCGTCGATATCTTAAATTGAATTCATAAAAGAATTAAAACCACTCGACCGTCCCAAGCGACATCGCTTCGCTTTATGAGCACCTGAAAAGTTCAAAGAAGATCAGACGTTTCAAATTTTGTTCAGCGATGAGGCCCATTTCTGCCTCATTTGGGACAAAAGGCAACCTAAAGAGCTTGAAGAGCTGGCAATTTATTCAGTGAAAACAACGATTTGATGTTGCTTGTGGGCCTTCAATAATGATGCCGGTGAGAACGGAACCGTCAATGGCGACCGTCATCGAGCCATGAAAACCAACGGCACTTCCCACATGTTGCATCAATCAATGGATTTATTGGGAGAAGACTTTGGTAAGCAGATAATTTCACGTTTTGGGCCGGTCAATTGGCCACCGTTAGATTTTTCCTGTTGAGTTATGTAAAGTTATTAGTCTATGCGGACAATCTCGCTTCGATGCAGGCCTTGGAGGTACCAGTCGAAATGCTCGAACGAGTCATCGAAAATTTTACTCAACGGATATGCCATCTGAGACACAGCCGCGGTTAACATTTGAAAAAGAGAAATAAATGCCAAAGAATGTTCTATCGAAAGGTAATAAACATCCCCCATTAAATTTTAATTTTCTGTGTTTGCTCAGAATGGTTTGACCTTGTCACTTATTAAAAATTTACTCTGGAGATTTTGTAACTATTTACATTTGGGGCTATCTTCTAAGCAGAAGCTGTAAACACGCATGGATGTATTAAAATAATTGCTTCACGCTTTTTATTATAAATAAATTGTAATGAGTAGATAAATTATATTTTATTACGAAACATATTTTATTGCGGAACATCCCAGGGAAGGGCGTGGCCAGATAGGAAACAATAATAAACCCGTTAAACTCTGTACGTGAGGTGGGCATACTTACATATGTTCTCGGCGAAATATCTGTTAAATCTAGATTTCACCAACCGCAGATGGCAGAACGAAACCACTTGCAGGGTGACCAGAGAAGTCTGGCCATTGATCGAAGTGAACAGAACAAAGTAACAGGACAACCATAAGCATAACAACTGTCGAAACAACTGAACACTGTCTTGATGGGCTGTTTCTCAAACGACTTTTGCCACAGCTGCAGGAACCTAAGCCCATTGTAAAATCAGTGGAAGATTACTTCCGCCACTGCCAAGCTCTCAGTGTGACCCATTATCGCTTTCTGGGGACATTTTTATTCGATTGCCTTTCAGATTTTGCATCGGTAGAAAATCACTTTCTAGGAAATTCAAATTTAATGGGGAATGTTTATTATCATTCAAAAGAACTGCCTTTGGCATTTATTTTTTGGAAATTATCTCTTTCAAATGTTGGAAGCGGCTCAGATAGACCTTGAATTGAATCGATTTTTCGATTAGATATCCGAACAGAAAAAAGTCTAACAGAGTGATATCACACGATCTTGGTGGCCAATCAACTCATTACATCGGTTGCATTCTCACCGGCCCGCAAACTACACCAAGCCGTAGTTTTTTCTGGTTGAAATGTCAGCTAATGGATTTCTTCATGTGCCTCTTCGTCCCAAATGCAAAATTTCGCTTGTTTACATACCCATTGAGCCAGATATGGACCTCAAAGCTAAATAGAATTTATCTCGAAAACGGCGGTCTTTATTTCAAGAACCTATAGAACGAAGCAATGTCGCATGGGAAGGGCGAACGGCTTCAGTTATTGCACAAGCTGTATTTTGTACGCTTTCGATTTAAGATCTCGACGTATGCGTCAGTCCGAGTTGCTGCGAACGGCGCCGAATTGACTCTCCAATGGCTGGAAAATACAATATATTTCGGGATTATTTGGAGCTTAGAATTTTTTTAAGGTAAGAAACACATTTAATGTCAGATAGCTCTGAAGCCGACTGCGAAGAGGGAATGAAACTAATTTTAAGTTATTGTGTCATGGTGCATCAAACACAAACATAATTTATTTAATTAACTACTCTTTTTAAAAAAATTTGGCTTAATTACATTTTTTATATAATTTTCAAACATAGATATTAATAAATATAAATAACGTAATAAAAATATTTAGTTACTGGGGTGTTTCTGTATGATCTTCCTTGTTTAATTCACTCGCGCTTGCACTCTCTCTCTTCTTCTTACGCTCCTTCACATCTTCATCGACATCATCTCCGACATTGTCATAATCCTCCCATATATACTCAATGGTTGGCATACCAATCTCATTAACAGGATTCAAAAAATAGTTACAATCAAAATTACTATATGGATAATTCAAATTGAAATTGTTGTAAGGTGATATATTTCTCGGCCAAGGGTATTGTTGATATCTACGATAGGGTGGCAACATCTGCAAGCGATTTCTACGGGACTTCAACAATTTTCTTCTCAACTCAATTAGTTGTTTTACGCTGAACGCTGATTTATGTGCCGGATTCATTGGTTCTGGATATTTACCTTCTTCCATATCAGTTCTAAATGCTGAGTGCAATAAGGATTCGCTCTGCGGTATGTCATCGCATTCTAGTATACCGGGATAGGTAAAGGGCATTTTTGAGAGTGGATCTTCTGGCTTGAATGTTGTAGTGGCCGCTTCGCTGGATTCAATTGATGGCTGGAAATTAAAATCGGAATTCGGCTGTGATGAATGAAGTTCTGCAATGAAAATAATGAAAATAATAAATTAAAAATTTTTTTAGCGATAAAACGGACAAATTGAGAAACGCCCTTGTAACAGTATTTACAGATTATAAACTATAAATCTCACATGAGCAATTTCAAACAATTAAAGTTTTGTAGGTCGTTTTGTAGAGCAATGGAATGAAAAAACCTGTAAAGGTCAACGGATGCCCGATGAGAGTCCTCAAGACGGACTCAAAAATTTTATTTCCATTCTGATCTGTAGCGTAAGGGTTTACTTTCAGTAGAACGAAACTGTTGAGCATTAAATTTACAAGTACCCGACCTGCAGCCACTGCAAACGTCTTATCTTCCTCGATGCCCCAAACTCCAGCTTGGAACGGAAATGAATATGCGTCAATGGAAGAAAATAAGGCAATTGGAAGGCAGTTGGATTGAGACGGGGCGCACAATGAGCTTACGGAATGGTTTAAGTATGGCCACCCGTTACTAGTGTTTCTTGCTTAGAAGCGTCGGCAACTCTGAATCACATTACCTCGATTCGTAGGGCGCACTACTAATCACCTGATCGACTTAACCTTTTAAGTACTCGTACAAAGGCACATAGTAACCGATGAAGCGATCTACGGCCGAACACCTCCTCCGATTCGTGGATTTGTATCTTGATGTTTTTAAAACAAAATGAAGGGACCTAGAGTTTATACTAAGCCGCCTCCGAACGGCTGAAGGCTCTTTTGTGAGGAGATTTTATTTCATATCATAAATGCGATCAAAGGAGTGACATTCCCCGCCGAGTAGCGACCGCAATTATTAAAGTTAATTTTCTATAACAATTTGGATGTTAGTATGACACAAGTATTTGAATTCTTCTGAATGACTTCACGCAATGCTAACCTCTCGACTACCGCGACAATGTTATAGCTCAGCCAATTAACAACTTCAAATTGGGCTGAACCATGTCGTCCGTGTAGCGAAAGCAATATTCGCTGGTGCAAACAGAAGAGGATGGAAATCTTTACGACTTTGAAAATGTGAGTTGGAGAGAGTCCTTCACTTGGATCCTGTCTTAAAATCATGTAAGCGATTTCCGAACCGACAAGCGTGGAGCTATTTAGGGCCTATGTATATAGGAAACTCAATTGGAAGAGTTAAATCGACAGTTCCCTGCCGAGCAACATTTATAATGAAATACAAATTCGAAGTCTCAGATGCTTTAAGACTTGATTTAGATGGGAGAACTCAATGGATTAGGCGGTCAAAAATTTCGTGAAAGCAACAACAATTTTCTACCCTAATACATACTTGATGTTAATTTTACTCCAAAAAAAATCTCACTCACTTGACAAAAGCTCTCTTAAACCCTCTCTCAAACGCTTTCGTGATTCAGGATCAGTATTCCGCGGTGCGGGTGCATTTCCCAAACCTTAAAACAAAAAATGAAAACTGCTATTATTTGAAGCACTAAAGAGTTTAACTAATTTTCCATTCACTTTCTTGCTGCTTCGTCCGATCGCGCACTTTCACATCTGATTGCACCGCCAACAACAATCTATGCTTTTGATCATACTCCTTGCCATCATGATCTTTCACCACCTCATTTACATGTACACTCTCCGTATTATTCGCTAAGTTCGGCAGTTGGTAATTGAACTCATTCGGTCTTGAGGCCATTGGCAGCGTATCACTTTGCACTTGCTTCGAAAATGACGTCACTGTTGGTGCAATCGTTGTAGCGACAGCACGAGATCGCCACTTTAATGGCTGCAACAGTCTACGTACACCAAAGGTGAAGTGCACACAACAACAAAAACACAAAATAAATTTCAAATAAAATGTTTTCATCGCGGTAACCACTTTTTCTTTCTTTGCGATTTTCTTTCTTTGCGAACTTCAAAATACACAAATTTTCAATTGCGGTTATTGTTGTCAGTCTGAGGCGGCGACACACGTCGTGTCTCTTGTGGCAATGTGTTTGATGTCGCTTACATTTGGCTATTTATGGCGATCTTTGAGAAGAGTCTACGTGATTATTGATGATTTTCATAACCGAATTTTTTCTTATGCAAAAAAGACGTTGCAGATTAGGCGAGTCAATGGCCTGCTGGTTTTCTATTGCAGTTCTTTTCTTTGTGTTTGGTTTTGATATTCTAATGGTGAATATACATACATACATGTGGGTACATAGATGAATGTGAATTATATGACGAAGCTAACAAAGAACCACCAACTAGATTGTAAAACATTAGCAAAAAGATGTACTACTGCGGTGGCCTTCTCGGGTTTTCATTTCAGTCACTTCCTACTTTGATTTTTTTAAATATATTTACATATGTACATATGTAACATTAGAAATAAATGTTTATGTTCAATTTTCCATGTTCCATATGAATTTTACAACCAAGATTTACATCTAAAAAAAAGAAAAAACTTTAAAATATTTTTTAAGTTATAGTCGATCGCCAACGGCGCGAAAAAAAGGCCCTTCACTGCTGCAGTGATTCTGACCTTCTCCGCGGTTGAAATCTAAAAAAAAAATTTTCGTTAAGATAATATTGTCTGTACAATGACCTACGATAAAAAAAATCAAAAAATTAACAATATGGCGGCGTTTAAAAAAAAAATAGTCGAATTTTACCCAATTTTGGTCGTTTTTGGCCTGCCAAAATTAGATTTATTTATCAGATCAAAAATCGATAGGTCATTGTACGGAGAACTATATATAGAACACATAAAAAAAATTCGATAGGTATCGGATCATTTGTTTTTGAGTAATCACTGCAACAAATTCGGAAAATGCTGTTTCGAGAAAAACGCGTTTAAAGATAAAATACCTCAGGTACGTCTCGTAGCTAATGAGACTTTCTAGCTGCCGAGCGGCTGCTCTATAAATTGCTATAACTCAAAAACTATTTGAGATATCGATTTGAAATTTTAATATGTTATTTTTAAAGGTGTAATCTACCGAAATATGAAAAAAAAATTTCACACTAGGTATGCCCCTTAAAAAGGAAGATATGTCATTAGTAATGGAAAACAGGATCAGCCAAATGGACGCCACGGCTACGCTGACAGGACCGTTCCCATTTTATGAAAGTTTCCATCACTAAATCGCAAAGTGACTACTATATGCCCCCAATAGCTTCACGAATTCCATATTTGAGGTCTTGTGTCCGCTTTGGCATGTTGGCTTAGACCTTACTAGTATCTTACATGCGACCATAAAGAAAGAAGTCGCAAAAAGTTACACGTTGAGAATGAAGAGGCTTTTCAACAATAAAACTTAAGATTCCCCCGAGCATCAGATGCAACAGTTTTGCTTATTGACGTAGCCAGCGAGTTGGAAATATGCCTCATCAGTCAAGCTGATTTCGCGATGAAACTCTGGATCATTTTCATACATTTTAAGTACATCAGCAAAGACACGAAGTTGTTGTATTAACTCAACTTTATAAGCCTTAAGACCCAAATCTTTATGCAAAACACGTTGTAATGGCATTTGTGATGTGTCCAATTTCAAAGAACGAATGGACCAACCTGATCTTTCTTCAACAATTCGGACTATAGCAGCAATATTCTCAGTTGTTCTTTAGGGACGTACACGTGTTCTATTTTTCACAAAACTAACTTGCCCCAACACTTCCAGATATTCAAAATATTGGAAAACCCTCCAAAACATACATTCTCCACCCATCAACCACCTCTTCAGCTACAGTTTATTGTTTTGCGTATGGGAATAAAAATTAATCATTCGGTGCCAAGTCAGAACTACTCGGTGGATGTCTCATCAATTCGATGTATTGAGTTCTCAAAAATGCGGTTGTTTCAGTCGATGTGTGAGAGCTTGCATTGTCGTGGTGAAGAGTGTTCCGTCTTCGGCTTGGGGTTTTCCTGATTTATTGAAAGACAACTGGTAAACTAATGGAGTAGCGCTCTAGATTTGCTGTTCTTCGTTGTTCTAGTGATACGGTAGCTTGAAAGTTATTCGGATTCAGCTCATCTTAAAGCACTCATACAGTCAACTCTTATACTCCTAAATTCACGATTCATCACTACATATATAATATTTTGGCAACTATGTGTCGTCTCCAGGTGAGTCTTGTATCTAAGTATATGCCGAGATAAGTATGGGAAAGATTTATACTATTTAATCTAATTGCAAAATGGACAGTTTATATTAAGCCTCCTCCGAACGGCTGATGGTTTTATCTATAACTTTAGAGGTCGGATGAATTTAGTAAACCAGTTAGTGCTCGAACAGCTAGAAAAAGACTGCTCGAAAAACAGAAAACAATAGGAAAAATCGTTTGGAATGGGCCCGCCGATAACAGCAGTTCACGGAAGAATATTGATCGAATGTTCTGCGGTCTGGTGAATCAAACTTCGAGGTAAGCTTAGTTAAGATCGTCTAAAAGTATTAACAGCCATAACTTCTTAGCCTCGAGCAATTTTGAAGACATAATACAAATCTTATGAAAACACTATTTTTTCTTTTCTACAGATATTTTGAACCCCTGACGTTCGTGAGGCGACGATTTGGGGAAAAATATCATCCAGATTGCGTGGTGCACACTGTTAAGCACAGAGGTTGCATCATTATGATTTGGGGCTGCATGGTTGCTGATGGTGTCGGCGACATGTTCGTTTGCGTGGGTCGCATGGACAGTCAAAAGTACATAAATGTATTAGAAGCTGTTCTTCTGCCTTCGGCGATACTAACTTAGACGGGGCTCAATTTCAGCAAGACAATGCTTCTTGTCACAAATCAGCGACTACGATGCGTTGGTTTAGAGATAACAACATTGTTTTGTTAGATTGGCCTGCACAGTCTCCAGATCTTAATCCCATTGAGCACATGTGAGCTATTTTAAAACGCAAGATTAGAGAACACAGTATAACATCAAAAACTGCCTTAAAGAATGCCTTAATTAACGAGTGGTCGCTATAATTGCGGACGAATGTGCAAATCTTACACGCAGCATGCCTAAAAGAATTGCTGCCGTTATTAAATCGAAGGGTTGACCTACTAAATATTAATATTATTATCACTAATTCATTGCATTTTCACTGTTTTACTAATGAAACTTCATTACTTCACTTGTTAAAACAAAATATTCAGTAATTAGTGGGGTGCCTAATACTTTTAGCCGAGGCTGTATATTTTCATAATTTCATCTAATAATTGCAAACACATCACTTTTACACTAAGACCAAAAACGCGCCTTGCTGTTTAGCTCAAACATGCGTCGATCCCGCAAGCTGACGAAATTACATACCACGGAATCCACTTGGACAGGCGCTTAATCTGAGGACAACTTAATGTTTCTAAAAAGTTGCAGTTCAAAGCTGCCAGTTTACATTGGCTTTTAAATAAGAAGTCTGGACTTAGCCTTAGTAAAATAGTCCTCTTATATCATACAGCAGAAAACCTATATGGATGTTTTTAATCCAGTTATGAGCTCAGCTTGCGTGACGAATATAAATATAATTCAAAAGTTCCAATTGAAAACATTAAGAGTAATAACGGGCGCTCCATGGTAGATGCGTAATGACTAACACCTTAACCCATGCAACAAGTCTAACCCGCCTGTGTAGAAGGAACAAAGCAGCCAGCCTTCTAAAGAGCAACGTCAAGCCAGTCGCCCATTCTTAATAATGGGTTTTAGGTTTTAATTTAGTTTAAGATTCTTTTATTTATTGTTAGGCTCCGTTGTCGAAGCAGATTCAATAAATAAATATTTATGTTAAAAAAAAAATAAAAATTTATCTAGAAAACAACTCAACATTTCGACTCTGAAATTCTAAAGCCCTACATTCAATTTTTTTTTTAAATTAATAACAATACAGTTAAAATGTTTTGAATAGTTTTATGGGGAATAGATGTATTTTTGTTTTCAAAAATTTTTAAGTTATGGAAATTAGTATTATTTGTTAACGAAAATTTCTGTTGCTAGCAACTTTAACTTTTGGTCATGTAATACGAATGGAATGAGAAAACAAGGTCAAAGAAGTTGCAAATGATCAAATTTCAAAGCGAAAAATATGAAATATTTAATATAATATTTTCGCATATTTTCTTTATCTGCTAGAGAGCCTGTGGAAAATGGTGAAAAAATCGTGTCTAAAAATTCGAAGCGGTGAAAAAGTGTGCAGTGGGCTATTATGGACAAAAATTTGAAAAAAAAATATTGTGTGATTGATTTATATTTAAATTTCTTTTAAAAAATTAAAACAAACAAACAAGTATTGTAGAATATTCGTTAACCGCTTCATTTTAAGAATTTAATGATGAAATTTGTTGGGCTGAAAACCAGAAGTTTTGGTATTAAGAAAACTTGAACTCATCGCATGGGTAGAAATATAATATATGAATCTGCAAGAATGAGGTATTGATTTGCCAAAATTTTAAATTATTTGGTGGATTCGACCATCCCGTCCTTAGTTTGATTAATACCTCGCACAGTAGCTCATTTTTCGCTAATTTTTGCGCCATCTTTCAATAAAGAAAAGCGGTTAAATAAGTGACTGCGGTGGCGTCACTGCGAAAAATTAAAAATAAAATTTGTATAATTTGTGTTTTCTTCTGTATAAGAAATTTTTCAGATATTTACATACATAAACATTTAAAAAAAAAAATGTTTCTTTTAATTATATAATATCAAATCCCGCCCACTGTATATATGACGAAATTGGTTGTCGTAACCTTGTATTGGCTAAACCTTGGATTACGTCTATACTACTCAAAAATAAAAATCCGTCCCTTTCTGCATAAAAAATGTAAAACAAAAATCATTTTTAAATTCAAAATACATTTATTTACTCAAAATGTATTATTTTCGAAATTTCCTTTTACTTTTTTCTTTTGCGTGATGAATAATTTATTTATACAGTTATTAGCGCTCTTCAGAACTATAATCTTCCCACGTATTACCGTGATCACTCGCACCTGTTAAAGGTGCATAGATGACGCCCTGAAAATTATTCAACGGCTGCCTCGAATGTGCATCCTGAGCTGGTAGCATCACGTAATCGGTGCGTCTAGAATTTTGCCCCTTTCGCTTATTTTTCGAAATTCTCAAGCGTTTACTTGCAATATTAGTTTTGACTGGGTTTAGCGGATTTCTGCTCTTACTTTGATCCCTTAAAACTGTCTCAACCTCATCCGTGTCCTCGCATATAAACGGCTCAATATAAGTAATGGGCTTACGTGGCTCCTTTCGTATAATCCAAGGAAATGTTGGTGGCACAAAACGGGGCTGAACATTTACACACTTGCTGGTTGCAGGTTGTAGTGCTATTTTTTTGTTTTTTTTTTTTTTTTTGAGAAACATTTGAATTCTTGAAATAAATTATATCTTTAACTTATCTCAAAGCCTTACACTTAAGAAGCTCCTTCAATTTCGTTTCGTCTAGTATCAGTGTCGTCTCGTTAATTATTTTCCTCTCTGCATTATTGCGATTCGGTGTCAGGGTGGCTAAAAATGATTCATAAAAACTAAATAATCCAAATGGAGTTTTGCACCTTTTCATACCTTGCTGTGGATCCTTTATTTCCCGTACATTCACATCCGATAGCACAACCAACAAAATTTTATGCTTGTGATCGTACACGCTGGTGTTGTTGCTCCAAGCAGTGGCATTCCCTGTGGCATTGTTCATCGCTGCAGTCAGCGGCATGCCAGCCACATCTGGTGAGACTGTTGTCGGTACTGGCAGAGACTTTGTGGTCCTGGGTAGCGCCTGTGTGGTTCTTGGCGGCCCCAGTTTGCCAAGTTTATTCGTATTTAGCGCCAGGGGTGTCGATTTGGCCAGTGCAATGCTCAGGGTGAGCCAAAACTGTATGCAGCATATACCAAACTTATTCATGACTCTCCAAGATAGATTTTAAATATTGAAAAACGCTTTTGTTTGTTGGTAAATAAGCTCGTACTACACCTCATCAGTGCAATGTTTGTTTCTTTTAAACAAGTTTGTACAATTTTCTCCTCTGGTTATTTAACTGTAATTTATTGTTGTCTTCCCATACGTGATATGTCTCTGATTTTAGAAACTGTTTGTGTTATGTAAACTTGCGTTGATTGCTCTGACGCTGAACTGTGTTGGTTTTCGTTTACGTAACAGTTAAAAAAAAAATATATTAAATATACAAATTTTAGTTATAAAATTTAGGACAATCAGACAAAAATTCAGACTCTATAGGATTGAGTTCAGTTAGACTGAGAACAGTGGCAGTTGGTAAATGTAAACATACAGTTGCGGTCAAAATGACAGTACTGAGTTTGCTAATTAAATTTAAGTCGTCATAAATTTGTATTTCAGACTTCTTTTCGCTTTCGCTGTAAATACCGTTGCGTACTGCCATTGGGAGTGCTCGGGTTCAATTCCTGGTACGACCAACATCCAAAAGTTGTAGAAAATTTATTTAATTAAAAAAGTAAATTAAATTTCCTAATTACGGTCGCTCCGGCAAGGCTTCTCATAAAAAAACCATCAACTCCTTCAAACTGAAGATCCCTCCTCCCATCAAGACGCAAAACCATGAATTGGACGAGGAGCTGGGTCGAAAATCGCTTCAGCGGTTACAAAGCGCCTATTATATATACACATATATATATATATGCATACAGTTGCGTTCAAAATGAGCTATTTTTGTTATCAGAGCCGGAGATACTGACTCTGATTAAAAAGTTGATTGGCGAAGGAAAAACCTACAGAGAAGTACAAAACAAAATTGGTTGCTTCCCCACGATGGTCCGAAACTCTATAAAATACAAACCGGGTGTCGAAAAACGCTAGCGGAAACGTGTAATGCCCACTCAATTGGTTAAGTCTACTGTAAAATTTTCAAAGCAATATCCCTTTGCAGCTGCCACCGAATTAAAAAAATCTCTAAATGTGAAAGCCAATGTTGAAACTCTCCGCCAACCATTCGACTTGGCCTTTGACCAAATGGCGTAACATTTTATGGTCTGACAAGTCAAAAATTGTTCGCTATGGCGGAAAAGGTTCAAGGCAGTTTGTAAGACGTCCACCCAGCAGCGCACTTAAACCAAAACATACCACTAAAACGGTAAAACATATTGGACCCAGCATTATGGTTTGGGCATGCTTTTTGTGGTATGAAGTTGGACCCATTCATTGGATCAAGGAGACCATGAATGCTACCCAATACGCCCAAATCATGCAGGAGGCTATGCTAGGGAAGAAATTCCACTGATTTGGACCTTTCAACAGGCCAACGATCCGAAGCATACTAGCAAACTTGCAAAGGAGTGGTTTGGAGAATGGCCTCCACAGTCTGCTGACAGTAACCCGATAGAAAATTTGCGAGAGGTGGGTATCATCTTCATCTGGTTTAATTTTTTTCTTGGCAGCTGTTAGAAAAACCAAGTGAAATCAGGTCGATAGTCCCGCGGAGTGGATTCTCTTACTCTGCTTTCACGGGCAGGTACTCTCTGTGGATATCTTCCACACTACAGCACCATATAGCAGGACAGGAATGATGAGTGACTTGTAAAGTTTGTTTTTGGTTTGTCGAAAGAAGACTTTACCTTTTCCAAAGTAGCTATTGTTGGTTAAAGTGATTCTACTTTGGATTTCAATACTGACATCATTATTTAAGTTAATTCGACAGTGAGGGGGGACCCAGAAAATAAGTGCGTCTGTTTCATGACATGAGTTATTCCGTCTTGTCCTCGTTGACTATCAGACCCATCAGAGTTTGCTTCTTTTTTCAAGCATAGAGAAGGTAATACTAATGCCGCCTTGTTAAGCCCCATGATAGCGATGTCATCAATTATACACCCTTATAAAGCATTGTCCCTTGTCTATTTAACTTTGTAGCTTTCATTATTTTCTTCAGTATCAATTTGAAGAAATCGCATGTTAAAGAGTGGCTCTGTCTGAAACCTTGTTTGGTATTGAACCGCCCGGATAGTCCTTCCCAATGCTGACTGCGCTTCTGGTGTTGACCAGCGTCAGTTTACCAAGTTCATACACAGCGTCGGTACAGGCACCTCCTTAAAAAGCGGTGAAAGGTGATGTTTTTCGATTCTGAATTTTGTAAGACTACATTTTCAGTTTGTTGTACCAAAAATACCTTCTTCGATCTCCCTGGCATTAAAGTCGCCAAGCACAATTTTCCCAACGGGGCAGGGGCAACGCTAAAAAAAAAGCAGTCTTGGTCACAACGTCTATCTCTTTTGTCAGGACATGGGCCAAAACCAGTGACATATTCAAAAATTTCCCTTTGATGCTGATTTGGCTAGACGTTCATTCATCGGAGTGAATGCCAGAACTCGGCAACAGTGTGTCTCTCTTACCAATAATCCAACACCCAAGTAGCTTAAATCATTCCTTTTTAATTTTTTTAATAGAAATTAAAATAAGAAATATCCAAAAATTTATATTATTAACAATTATTGCAAAGAAACTCTGCTAAAACTCAGTTTAATTACCCATAATACGAGGTTGTTGACCAGGCTAACTGTGGAAACGTAATACTGGCACTAAAAATGTCTTGTATTAATTCTGAATATGTATCCAGCGCTTCTCAAACTGAAGAAGTGTGACATAGAAAGTTTTGGAGCTGTTGCAGCGATAAACGCAAAGCTTTATAACCCAGCAATCATAAAGCCTCGCAAGCTTGCATTAAAGATTTTATAAATTTTTTCCAAATTATTTGGCTTACATTTAGTAGCTTAAGATATTTTAAGATTATACATACATACATTTCCCAATTTTTTCCGCACCATTTGCAGGTTTGGATTGTTTGGTTTGGGAGAACGAAAAATCCAAAAAGGATTATTCAATTCAATTGCACTTCCAATTTCCGAAATCTTCGCTAAAAACTTACATTTTTTCTGCGATGAGTTGAATATTTTTATTGTTTTTTTTTTAATAATTCTTCATTTCATTCTAACTCAATAAAAAAAAAAACACACGAAACTTTTGTGAAGACATCGACTAAAACAAATGAAATGTAACTTTTCAAGTGGTTATTAACGAAAACTAGTTTTCGATCCGTTTTCGTTTCGGTCGTATCGGTCTGAACAAGCATCGATTTGGACCAAATACAGTCCGAACTGCCCTGAATCCGAGACAAATCAGAGAACTTATTATTTAGATTATTTATTATTTTAAAGAATCAGTTGTAAGTATGACCATATTAAATTCGACATATGAACTATGAGGAATAAGAGCAATAGTAATTTTAGTCATTCATAAAGAAAACTCCAGATTTTTTTTGTCAAATTAAATATTTTTGCAACTTATTTAATAATATCGGATTTTTTAAATGTGTTTTAATATATTTAATGGTTTTTAAAAATATAATTCTTTAACATTTTTAAATTTATTTACTTTTTTAATAATTAAAAAAATTTTTTCATAGTTTTTATTTTTTTCTCTCGTTTTTTTAAGTAACATAGCAGATATTAAAAATCCTAGATACATATTTAAATTTTTGTTTAGCAAAAGTATTCACTAAATTGTAAAAATAATTAAATGCGATTTTTTTGTTTTTAGCAGAAAATCCATTCCGATCTCTGCTAATTTTATCAGTGGCTGCTATAGAAAGCAGAGAACTTAGAATAATTAAATATATTAAATTTTTGGTATTTTTGCTTCTGACGCAAGTTCAAATTCCTATCGAAGGAGCCAATATCTTTTATTCCAAATAATTAATTTTTATTTATTAATATTTTTTTTGTAATAATAATCATGTAATGAGCAAAAAATAAAAAAATTTAATTTATAAATTATATTTTTATGTGATGAGTAGGCTAGTTGTTAGAACGAGCATATGTATTTTGTATTTTCGTTTTTTTTTATTTTTTAACTAAATAATAGCAAAACACCATATTTCTTTATGCTAAACTATCAAATCTGTTAGTTTACAGCCAAATTTTAACAGAGTGGTGAATCCCTTTCCTGAGATTTTCTAGCTCTGTAGAAACTTCAATCGAGCATCGAACAAAATGTCAATTACACCTTCTCGTTATTATAAGTTCTCTGGTTCTCTGCTTGAGGAAGACTATTTAAAAAATATCGAAAAAACATAAAACTATATATTGATTTATTAACTACTTTAGGTTGGGAAAAAGTCAGCCGCCCGTCGAGTCTATAATTCTATTTAATCCTTATGAAAATGCGTCCTAAGTAAAAATGCGTTCACATGTTTGTCCCTTTATTCAATTATACCCATTAATTTAAGGAAAACTTAAAAAATAAACAATTTACATATATTTCTCTGGTTTTTGTGCTAAAATAAAAATAAAAACAAAAATAAAAGAACTAAATCCGTTAAATAAAAATTCTTCGCAACATTACGATCAGATTTTTCTGATAAATCGAAAGATAGAACACCAAAGAAGAACAAAGATTTCGATAAATCGGATTCGATAAAATTTCAAAGCAATTCCAACAAAGAACTTAAAATAACGAGAAGGTGCAATTGACTTTTTGTTCGATGCTCGATTGAAGTTTCTACAGAGCTAGAAAATCTCGGGAAAGGGATTCACCACTCTGTTAAAATTTGGCTGTAAACTAAAAGATTTGACAGTTTAGCATAAAGAAAAACTGTTATTGACGACAACAGAAGTAAAACCAATAGAAATATAATAAATTCAATGAAAATCAATTGATTCATTAATTTTTTTCTTTTTCGTATGGTGTTTTGCTATTATTTAGTTAAAAAAAAATAAAGAAAAAGAAAGTACTAATATTTAAAAAAACGAAAATATATTATATAAATTAAATGTTTTTAATTTTGTTCATTACATTATGATTTTTTATTATTACAAAAAAAATTAAATGAATAAAAATTAATTATTTGGATAAATGATATTGGTTAATTCGATAGGAATTTGAACTTGCGTCAGAAGCAAAAATGCCGATATTGTAAGTAGCTTTGCTACC